TAAATTGATTGTTAAATTGAAAAAACTGATTCACCCCCTCTAGGTATAGTATCTTGATCTCTACGTGTATGTTCCTGAGAGAAGATCTATATCAAGTTTTCCCTCCCAAAACAACACATAGGTAATGTAATTGATACAACAACTTGGATCAACGTATGGTCGTGTTTATACTGCAATTTTTTTATTATTCTTTCAACTTTATATGTAATGAAAATTGGGGTTGACTCCTCCTTAAGAGACTTATAATGAGTTTAGTTCGCCAAAAAAACTTATTTGGGAGTAAGTTCATTTTTAATCTTACTAATAAGTAGTTAAGTCTACTATTTTTTTAAAATTCTAAAATACCCTTTTAATGACTTAAAAACAATCTTCAACCTAAACAGTTATCCATTAATTCATATTTAATGAAAGATTTTTTCCATAAAATTTAAAATTCAAATTTAATTAGCCATCACTATCATATCTCTCTCTCTCTCGGTAGCTCGCTTGTTTCCTTGATGGACGCCCTAATGATACATAACTCACTTTTGCTTGTTAATAGCAATCAAACTTGTTGGCAAGGAGGCAGAAGCTTTTCTAACCTTGTTGTCATTCATGGGCTTCTTCAAATTGTCTTCTAGGTTTTTATTTTGACATTGGAGAGGAACAACTTGCTGATGATTTCTGTCTCCATTGATTGCTTGTCGTTTAGGGTAATAGAAATTAGTGGGAAAGAAGTAGTACTGAAAACCAGCCATGAAGATGTTAGAAACAAAAGTTTTGAAGTACTATGAGTATTGTGAATGTTTTTTTTTCTGGTCAAGTCTAAGTCTGTATTTTGTTTGTGTATGTATATATATATAAAGAGAGAGAAGGAGAAGAAAACTTAGTTTTGGTTTTTTTTTTAAAAATAACTATTTTTTGTGTTTGAATGTTCGATGTTACTGTTTTTTTATTATATTACTGTTCATATTATTGTTTTTGTTGAACATGTTTTGTAGAGCATGTTACTACTGTTATTTTTAAATTACTATATTTTTTTGTTTAAATATTACTTTTTTGTGATTAAATGGTATTATTTTTTGTATTTGAATGTTACTATTTTTTATTTTTAATATTACTCTCTCTCTATATATATAGAGAGAGAGAGAGAGAAAATAAATGGTCTTATTCTATATATGGATTTAGATAGATATGAGAGAGATAATTTTAACGTTAGTCAAACTCTTAATATTTAGGAGTTATTAATTTTTAAATTTATTTAATTAAATATACTTATCGTAGGTATTTTGGACAGTAAGATTAAATAGACTTAATAGTAAACAAATTTTCTTAATAAATTTATCACCAAATAAATCTACAAAAAAAAAGACCAACTTCCAAATATCTCTTTTATGCTAGGAAGCACAGACATGGATACGTGATACGGGTACGATACAATACGGCGATATGACAAAACTTAAAAAAAAACAGGATACGGGTACGGCCATGATACGTTTATAATAAAATATATTTTATTTAATGACTTAGAAATTACAATTTTTCAATAATTTTTTAACATTAGTAAGTAAAATTAGAAATTTTTACCATAAAAAGGATGTAATATTGTCTCATTATGATATGCTCATAAAATGAGCATGACAAATTAAAGGAATCATAAAAACATTTAATTAGTTAGTTTTACAAGTATTTATTTTTGAAAGTATAGTGTAAGTGACTCATTTTTTTTATACCCTCTTAACATATAATAATATATAATACTTAAAAAACACTCGTATCTTCAAAATCAGATGAAAATTTGTTGATGTTTTATATTGTATGTGAACTTCAAATAAATGGTATAACTTAAAATTGAAAACTGTACATCTTACTCTATGTTTAAAAGTATCCGCAAAATATTTATATATTTTATTATTTTATCAGATACGAATAATACGTATCGAATACATATCATCAATTATCTAACAAATATCATATTTCAATACGAATACGTCAATCTTAACAAAATATTCATCCTTCTTAGCTTTTATATAAGGCTCTACGGCCTACGGCTCTCTCACTTGCTAGTGTGAGCTCCCCTCCCACTCGTGCTCCTTACAAACAACCCAAAGCTTCGCGGGAACACGTCATAGGTTAGTACAACAACAAAATGGTTCCTCACCACCGTCGAACATTAGCAAAAAAGTAAAGTGCATATCCAGCGCATGCAGATTTTTCAATAATGTTATATTGACCCCAAAAAAAAAAAACTAAGGACCAAATAACATTACACTGTAATAATAATATTTTAATTTTACTGTTATTCGTTTAATATTCAAGATTTACTTAACATGCCATTAAATTTTATTTTTTTTGCCTTTTTTTGATCAATCTAGCATGATCCTTTCCTCTCAAGGCTGACAAAAAAATGGGGATTAAATCTTGTTAGAGAGAATTACACTAAAACTCTTTAAGATTTGTCACTTAATCACTCAAACTCCTAATATTTGAAATATTACACACAAGCTCTCTGAGGTTTGTACGCATGTAATACTTAAACTCCTGTCGTCAATGTCTATTAATATAATCATTAGTAAATTATACATAAACTCCCTAAAATTTATAGACATATAATACTTAGATTCATCAAGTTTAAAATATTATATTTAAACAAAAAATACTCTAATAAAAAATAGAGTATCAAATATTTATATTTTATAACCAAAATTCATGTTTTATTGTATCATTTGTTGAAATAAAATCAAAAATCAAAAATTAATTTTTTTCTTAAAAAATCTTAATTAGTATACAATTATACAACCTATTGAAATAAATCTTAAAAATCAAACAAAGGGGCTAAGTCATTCATAAAATAATATGAATTTTATAACCAAAATTCATGTTCCATTATGTCATTTATTGAAATAAATCAAAAATAAAAAATCTAATTTTTTCTTAAGAAATCATAATTAGTATAGAGTTATACTATCTATTGGAATAAAACTAAAAAATCAAATAAGGGATCAAACTGTAATTGACACAATATCTTCTAACTTTAATTGGAGTAATTTGATAGTTTAATTTGGTCATTTAAAGGACGAAATTAAATTTCAATAGATAATATAATTATATACTAATTATGATTTTTTAAGAAAAAATTAAATTTTATTTTTTATTTTTTCTATATTACTAATAAAAGTGTATTTTCATGAAAAACTTTTGATTCGCTATTTTACCCTCAAAAAAAATTAAAAAGGTGACTTTATCATTTCACACTTAATATCTAAATTTCCACCACATCCTTATGTATTTAAATCTCTAAATTACATTTAAGATAATTTTTAATTATATATTTTCTATGTATAAATATCAATTTTTATAAAACTTTTTGATTGATTATATTTTTCTTAAAAAATATATGCATCATTATATGTTTTAATAAAATATTCAAAAAAAATATCAAAAATTTTATCAATATAATATTACTCATCTCATTTTATAAAGATAATATTAAGACTATATATGTATATTTTATTTTTCATCAAAATGTTTAACCTTGTATGTATATTTTATTTTTTATCAAAATGTTTAACCTTTTCGTTTTTAAGATAAAAAATAATGTATTATAGCATAATTTTTAGTTACAGCAAACTTTTCAGTCTGTGTTAAGATTTTATGTGAAAACTTAATTTTGAAAAAAAATTAAAATGTTTTATAATATATATTATAGCATTGTATATTAACTTTTATTTCAATTGACCTAGATAATCCTAAATACAGTAAGGTTCCAATATGTTTGATATATTGATAATTATTTTATTCAATAATTTATAAGTGAAATCTTAATTATCTATTCTGTATATATAAATATCAATTTTTATGAAACCTTTTAATTGATTAGATTACTCTTAAAAAATATATCCATTATTATATGTTTTAACAAAATATTCAAAAAAAAAACGTCAAAAACTCCAACAATATAATATTGTTCATCTCGTTTATAAAAATAATATTATGACTACATATGTATATTTTATTTTACATCAAAACCATTTTCTTTTTAAGATAAAAAATAATGTATATATAGTTTTACATATTTTTTAGTTATAGTAAAAATTTTAAACTGTGTTAAGATTTTATGTCAAAACTTGAATTTTTTTAAAATTTTAATATGTTTTATAATATATATTATAGCGTTGTATATTAAATTTTTTCTCAGTTGACCTAACTTATCCTAAATACAGTGAGGTTCCAATATAATTGATATATTAATAATTATTTTTATTTTGTTCAATGATTTATAAGTGAAATTTTAATCAAATTAATTTTAAAAAATTTTATTTTCAAACATCACTAAAAAATAATTTCAATTACAAAATTATAGAAAAAAATCGAACTTTAATTATTTATTTTTTATCATTTTTCTTAAAATTAGATTAACAAATCTTGAAAATATACAAAATTTTAAAAAATTATATACTGGAGCATGAGCAATGAAAAAATAAGTTTGGTAACTTATGATGATATTTAATTTAAGTATACATATACTAAATATTTATTTATTAATTTTTTTTAAAAAAATTAGTCACGTGCAATACACGTGATGCATTACTAGTTTTAATAAATGTCATAATAGAACATGAATTTTGGTCGTAAAATTTAAAATATTTTATATTCTATCTTTAATTGGAGTATTTTTAGTTTAAGTATAACATTTTAAACTTGAGAGGTTTTCGTATTGCACATTTACAAATATTAGGAGATATGAATATAATTTATTAACAAATATACTAACGGACATTGACAACAAAAATCTAAGTATTATGTGGGTTTAAATTTTAGAAAATTAATGTGTTAAATTTAAAATGTCCGGATTCTCGGTGATTAACCTCCCATCTTGCTAAATATTGATACACAAAATTACAGGGGAAAAAAAGACAACGAAAAAAGAAACGAAAAGAAAAAGACACCCGAAGCTGAAAAACAGCAAATGCAGGATTTATCAACCCCAAACGGATTAGATTTCAATAGTAGACTGGGGCCTGTCCTATTGGAATTGAACCAGAGCTGTCTTGAACCATGGAAGTAGTTCTCTCTTCTTCAGCTACTGCACTCACCACAATCGCAAACTTCTTAACAAAACCTCACAAAACCCCATCTCCTACATCCACTTCTTCCCCAATAACCATTCAATTTGTCACTTCCAGGAATAAAAACAACAAAAATAACGTCGTCAATCTCTCTTCTTCACAATCTTGGTCCATTTCTTGTGTTTCTTTGTCAACTAGGACAAGGGCGATAACAAGTTCTACGCCTCCCACTTTCACTTCTCTATCTTCAAACCGCAGTGGCCATCAACGCCACTGGATGGTGGTCATGGAGGCCCTACCACCAGAGCTTAATTCCAAACCGGAGATAATTGATTACTATGTGAAGACCCTAGAAAGAGTTCTGGGCAGGTTGTTATGATTCTATAACAAGAAGCTTATCTTTTTATATATTGTATTCCTGTCTAAATGTATAGATGAAATAGGTATGTTTCTATGTCTCGAACCTGTGCATTTTTCCTGTGATTTTGTTCTGAATTTGGTTTCAATTTTGGCTCATGCATATATGTAATTGGGTATTTTCAAATTTTCGGAGGTTTTTGTGTGAATTTGGTTTCAATTGTGGTTTGGGCAGTCAGAGAGATGCTCAGATGTGTATATATAATGCTTCTTACAATACCCATTTCGGGTTCTGCTGTGATATTGATGAAGAAACGTCCCATCAACTAGCCCGTAAGTTTCTGTTACTTTCTACGATTCTATCCTTTGGTAGCTTTGTGTAGTATTGTTCACTGAGTTGGCTGATGACAAAGATAGAAAGTTTGCTGCATTGTTTCAAAGGATGTTGAACTTTAATTATATTGTTCTGTAAGCAGATAAGAACTAGAAAACATATGCTATTTGTTATTCAGTTTGAAACCATTGTGATGTCAAAAAGCATTATATTAAAATTTGTATTTTTCTCTAAGCAGCTAATGACTAGAAAACATATATATATTTTTTTTACCAGGGTTAGCGATGCATGAAGCATTGACCGAAGAGCCCACTAGTCTATTCTACTGTTTTATGGGCCTTCGGAATTACTAGAAAACAAGTTATTTGTTATTCTGTTTGAAACCATTGTGATGTGAAGAAGCACTATTTATTAAAATTTTCTATTATTTTAATTGTATTATAGTTTGCATATAGGTCTATCTGGTGTGTTATTAGTTAGGCCCGACCCAGATTTTAACTCTGTGGAAAAGGACTATAACTTCTCAAAAGGTCAATCACATTTTCCACCAAGCTCATACATTGGCAACTTTCTACTATTTCCTTTGGGGACTTCTACATACTGGGTTGTTCAAACGGACAAACCAGCAATTGGAGCCATCACAAAGGCAATGGTGGTTGATCATTATGCTCAATTACTAACCAAGGTTCTGGGGAAGTAAGTGTTGGTTTCTCAGCATCTATTCTTTATTCTTCTTTTAATATCGATATGTTTATGTTTTTCTAAAATGGGGATGACACGTCCACAGCGAGAAGGATGCCCAAATGTGTATATATCACATATCCTGGCAAGCCCATTTTGGATTCTGTTGTGAACTTGATGAAGAGTGTGTTCGGGAGTTAGCTAGTCAGTATATACTGCAACTTTATCTTTTATTGCACATTTTCAATATGTTTCTGGCAAGAGGTTGAGTCCTTGAATGTTGTGCAGGTGTGCCTGGTGTTCTATCTGTTTATCCCGATGAAAATTTTGAGTCAGATGATAAGAATTATGGAGGTCTGTTACTATGTTCAACCTTTTTAGATACTAACTGCTAGGTCACTGGGTTGATAGTTGTTCTAGTTATGAACTTTGTTAGCTATTTCCGTATTATATTTCATAATATCGTAGACCTTTGCAACTTAGTTAAACTTCGGAAATATATTGTTATGATGTTATTAGTGGTATCAATTATAGCTAGTTGGTTTTTGAAGTGTGATTTTGTTCAGTGTTTCTGATATGGCTCGATATTCATATTCAAATATGGTAAGACAGCAGATGAATTGGACAACTCATCTTGCAATCAGACCGTCCTATAATGGGTTGGTACTCTTTTCACCTCTGAGATGGAAGGTCAAACATAATTCAGAATTAAGGGGATGGATTTGGATAGCATATTAATAAAAGAAAGAAAGTCTTTATTTTTGCTAAATCAATGTCATAATTTTAACACCTCTTTGGATATGAGGTATAGAGTAATGGAAATGTAAAAAACTCTGGATGGATGCAGTAATACAGACAACAGAGGTCCAATTTCCCTTTGGTGCTTTGTGGAGGGATAAAAACCCGTAGAAGAAATTGGTCTGGTTTTGCCGACCCTTGGTAAAATGGTTCAGATTTTGGAGAGACAAAATTTTTATGCTGATTCATTAGTTCAAAATGCAATCACTGCACTACAGATTCATCGAGTTGAAAACCGTTACTGAGGATTTGTCTGCTAGTACACCATAAGGCGGTGGTCTTTGTACTGGGGCATGGTAATTTATGTTGAAAAAATTTTGTATCTGATTCTCTAACTTAAGTTCCTATTGATTCATGTCTATTTCTCCGGCGAATGAAGTTTGCTATCTAGTTTTCGGACTTGTCTCTCTTGTATGACTGCTCTATGTCTCTCTTTTATGACTGCTCTATGTCTCTTGTATTTCTGTAGTTCGAAAATTAAGTTGTTATAGTTCTTTTAATGTTTGCAAAACCATAATTTATTTTCTTCCCTGTCTGTATCACTACATAAACACAGCATAATGAGAGCTCATAAGTCATAAGCAATCTAGTCACGCACACATAATCCGGTTACACAAGGACGAAGATCTTGCACTGATGTAGATGAAAGCTAGTCATTGGGCATTGATGTGTTCTTTTTTTTAAGACTGCAAATAAGTTTATTTGTAGCTTGATAAGTATGTACAAGAACAATTGTAAACTAAAGATGTTTGGAACAGTAATGTTGGTTGCCAATTTGAAGTGTAGCTGTAGTGGATGCACCATACATTAGCTAGAGGGAAAAACTACTTGATTATGCAATTCATCAACAGTAACAAAAATGTTGGAGCAGGTAATAGAGCCAAATTAGTTGGATTTCCCAGGGACACAATTCTGCGGAGGCAAATAGTTGAATGTGTAATAGCTGTACCCCAGGCATGTTGGAGGAGTCATTTTGATAATGTTTCTCTTTCATTTTGATAAAGTGGAAATCATCTCACATTGGTAATGTAAAGGGTATTGATGCTTTTGTGCAACCAACTTATTAAACTTTGTATACAAAAGAGTCTCAGGAAGCTGCTGAAAAATTGGATATCAAAACTAAGGTCTATGGTTTATGGTGTGAGTTGAAATTGTAAAGATGGTATTAAGGTTTTTAAGAGAAAGGAAGAATGAGAGAGAGAAAAATAATCTGTGTATAGGTTGTGTTGCCCTACTCCCTCTCATCCTCTTATTTATATTGAACACTATCTTGGGTAATTACAACATTACCTTACATAAGTATAAAACATAAAATAAGAAATCTAACACTCCCCCTCAAGCTGATTGTAGTCATAGCCCCATCATACATGTTCTTTATCACCTCAATATACCAATTCGTCACTCCTTTTTTCTCAAACACCCTCCATATCATATTTTTAGGTATTTTATCATACACCTTTTCTAGATCTATAAATACCATATTAAGATTTTTTTCTTCTCTATACTTTTCTATGAGTGTCTTCAATAAATATATAGCCTCCTACCCGGCATAAATCCAAACTGATTTTCTGACACCGTAGTCTCAACTCTTAGGCGCCGTTCAATGACCCTTTCCTATAATTTCATTGTATGACTCATCAATTTTATCTCAATATAATTATTACAATTTTGAATATTTCTTTTATTTTTATATATAGGTACTAAAATATTCTTTCTCCATTCATCGAGTTTTTTCCTAATATACATAACTCTATTGAATAGTTTCGTTAATCACGATATCCCCTCATTACCTAAGAAGTTCCAAAACTCAATTGGAATCTCATGCGATCCTAAAACCTTGACTAATTTTATTTTTTTCAATGTAAACTCTACCTCCGAATTTTTTATTCTACGAAATAAAGTTTCATGGATCCTACCATTTTCTATCTCTTCTAGGTTTCCTAAGTGATTTTCGTTTAATAGTTTCTCAAAATAGTCTTTTCATCGATAATTTATTTCCTCATCTTTAACTAAAACCTTTGAGTCCTTGTCCTTGATGCACTTATCTTGGTTAAAGTGTCTTGTTTTCCTTTCTCTAATTTGAGCTTGTTTGTAGATGTCTTTTTCTCCTTTTTTACTATCTAATTTTTTTTACAACTCGTCGTAGGATTTTTAACTTAGCGTCTCTAACTATCTTTTTAACCTCCTTGTTAACTAATTTATATTTTTGGAAGTTCTCTCTATTTCTATCATTTTGTCATCTCTTAAAGATTGTTTCTTTACTTTGACTACCTCTTGTATGTCGTCATTCCACAACCAAGTTTCTTTTCCCACAAGCCCTCTATCCTTTGACTCCACAATAACTTCTCTCAAAATATTTCTAATATTTTTCGTCATCCTATTCCACATAACGTTGCATTAAATATTTTTTCTTAGTACAGTAGGCAAGTCCGAAGAATAAGGAGTAACAAAAGGTTTAAAAGGAAGGACCTCAGTTGAATTAAGTGATGGCTGTGAAGCAAGAGCATAGGGCACATCCTATCTGTTCCCGGTATGTTGGTAAACCTACAATATGGGGGTTAGCAGATGAAGAAAAAGGTATACAATCTCGTATAACATGTTCTAATAGCTCCCCCTGACTAGAAGAAACTAAATCGGAAAAAGAATTATGTTCTGAAGTAGGAAAAAAGTGAGAGGACTCAAAGAAGGTAATATCGGCAGTGATATAGTATTAGTGAGGGCTAAAGTTATAACATCGATAACCTTTCTGTGTACGAGAATATCGTAAAAAGATACAGTTGGTAGAATGGGAAAATAGTTTATCCCTACTTGAACCAAGTAGATGAACAAACACAATACAATAAAAAACATGAGTCAGACCAAATGGGGGTATAGTAGGATAAAGCAATGAAAAATGAGATTTGTTCCTAAGACAGAGGAAGACATCCGATTAATAAGATAAACGGAAGTTAGAACAAGATCTACCCAATAGTGCTTAGGAACACGCATATTAAATATTAAAGTATGAGCTACATCCAATATATGACAATGTTTTCGTTTAGCAATACCATTTTGGAAGGCAAGAAGTTTGATGAATGATACAATGGTCCACACAAAAAAGAATGCATAAATTGTTGAACATACTCAAGAGCATTGTCAGAACGAAATATTTTAATGTTTTTATCAAATTGCACCAATATTTTATTATATAAGGAGACAAAAATTTTCAGTAATTCAGAACAATCTTTCATATGAAACAACCAAATCATTTGAGAGAAATCATCAACAAAGATAATAAATATTGAAATCTAGAATTACTCTTTATTCTAATAGGACCTAAATGTCTGAATGAACATGATTAAAAGAACTAGACTCACCACTATTATTACTACTAGAGAAAGAACTACGGTGATGTTTGCCCAACTGATAAGTCTCACATTCTAAGATAAAAGAAAGACTCAAATTAGAACAAACTTGATGAAGCTTTTGCAAGGAAGGATGCCCAATCGAAAATGCCACTGGAGTGGAGAGACTATAGCACCAATGGTAGGTACTGAGTCTCGAGAGTCTAAGTAATAAAAATCATTTTGCTCATGTCCCAATCACCTTCTTTGTTTGGAGGTCCTGACCAAAAAAGCACAAGAAGATAAAAAAAAAAAAAAAAAAAAAAAAAAAGGACATGAAACATTGTAAAGTTTTAGTTCACTTGCTAGCAGATAGCAAGTTAAAAGGAAAATGAGGAATAAATAAATCAGAGGTTAAGGACATTGATTTAGTGTGATGGAGATCACGTGTCCCACGTACCGGGCGAAAAAAACCATCGACTAACACAATAAGAGAGTTAGAAGGTTGGAGAATAGAAAACTTAGAGGAAATATCAGGCATATGAGCACTTGCTCCTGAATTAATAATCCAAGAAGGTGAGGTTGATTGGACTGTCACATACACAAAATTACTTGCATGAGCCAAACTAGCATCAAAAGTAAATCCCTGGGAATATAGTGAATATAACTACTAGATGAAATAACTGAGCTGAAAAGTAAGATGGTAATGAGAATCTAAAGTAGACGTAGAAGGTGGTGCAATAGATGTTTGAGATGCAGGTGGAGTCGAATCATCTAAAACCTAATTAGCATAGGTTGGTCTCACATATCTCAACAATAATCCTCCGTATGTCCAATGGTTCCTAAATAAGTACATTTTTACTCAGAGCGATTGTCGTGATTTTGACATCTTCCACGGCTGGAACCTCTACCTCCATGACTACTGCCTAGGGATGAATATCAATGACTAACATTACGACCACAACCACTACCATGACCACCATGGCCACCATCACTAGAGAGCAAAGAAGAGGGTTCCTATGAGTGTGAGGGAGTCCCACGAGTTAGAGAGGCTCTCTAAAGACGAGAATAAGTATTGAAAGCAATTCGAAGTTTCTCACTTACTAAGATTTGATCTTTGAATACACTATATTCAAAATTAAGATTGGACAAAAATAACGCAATTTGAAACTCTTCACATTGCCGCCTCTGTACCTCTAGGTCCGTACTCAATGGCTGATAAAGTAGAAGTTCCTCCCACAACCCTTTAGAGTGTCATAATGATCAGCCAGAGATTTATTGCCTCGCTTGGTAATAAATATACGCTCAAACAATTAGTAGATCTGGGATACATTATTCTCGTTAGTACATTTCCTCAAGAAAGTCTTTTCTTAGATTGGGCAGGTGCTCCTTTAGATAGATGATCTACTATAGGATATTTCTTCTTTTTGGGAGGTAATTTGGTTACATAGAAAAGTAAGAAGTAGACAGCGGTTGCATGATCTAGAGTCCAGGCTGAATACATGACAATGACTCACACATGTAGTAAGTTAACGTGGTTACAGTACTTCTTTTAGGAAATTGGGTTTTCAGCTCAAACTCCGGTTCAGTTGTTTTGTGATAATCAAGAGGCGATTGAAGTTGATTGCTACTTTGTTCGAGAAAAGGTTTTGCAAGGAGACATTATCACATCATTTGTCAAGTCTGAGGATCAGCTTGCTGAAATGATTACCAAGTCCTTGAGTAGTACTCGGTTGAGAGATATTTGTTCTAAGTTGGGATTATATGATATACATTTGTCTGCTTGAGGGAAAGTGTTAAGAATAAATAGGAATGACATTTTTGTAATAAGGAGACCCCCCTTGAAGGGTATATAGGTCCTTGTGTGCTTTGTGCCTCCTCCTCCATTCTCTCCATACCCTAATCTATATTCATAGTTTTAATTAAAACTTTTAGGCCATAGGAGATTGCAACATTTTGTCCTTTAATTTGTATTGTTTGCAGTTTTCAAATATAACAAAATTACTTGTTGAGATTTTTGATTTGTATTATGCAATTAGAATAAAACAGTAACAGTCAAAGATGAAACAGTTACAAGGACGAAACAGTTACACATAAATCTATAATTAAACAAAAGTATAAACTTACCTATTTGCAAATCAAGAACTGTTATTGAACTTTCTACAGATCAAGGCATAGTATTTGACACTATGTCCTTAAGACAGATTTTGTCCCTACACTTGGTGCTTTTAGAAATCAATGCGTCTAGCTCCTAGGATACGATGATCTTTATGCGAATAGAAGTAGCACTCCAATTTAATTGCCTAGCGAACCGAAACTGTGTTATGTACTCTCAGAATGCAGACTACTAATGTCAAAATATGATGTATGAGATTGCCTTAATGTCTACGAAAACTGGATGTTGAATGACAATGTAATTGGGTTATTTATAAGCAGAATGGTGACTGATCCGGATAGGCACCATGCGAATAGATGCAACCTAATAGAAATTAGACACCATTGAAGTCTACCTATTGAAAATAAACGCGAATTCAAAAATCGGAATTGGAGGGAAACAAAATCCGAACAGGTGTGAAATTTGAATTCTAAGTTCCAACTGGCACTAGAAATTAGCTTCTGGTTTAATAAATTCACGCCCAATTTGTTAAACGAATTTCTCTAAAAAAAATAAGGATGAATCTAAACCATACCCGTTCCCGGCCCGGTTGGGTTGAGTCGTGGTGTGGCAGGCGGGGATGCGTGTGTGGTCGAATTGATGACATGGAGGCACTCACTCCGCTCATAAAAATGTGGTAACCTTTGGAGCCCAAACCATGGAATAAACTTGGCATATATATGCACAAGTAGAATTTCTTGCTCAACCAATGTGGAATTGGTGTAAAATCCCACATTTCACAACCTCTATTTTGACAATGCAAATGACTCTCTTTGGAGCCTATTTTCTCATTCATTTCGTATTTTATTTGAGCGGATGAATATACTAGTCAGTCTCCTCAAGGAGTAGAATATGAATTCACAAAAGTTTACTCAAAACAACAATCGGGTCCCACTTTGATTTAGACTCAAAGTCGACCAAAAATTCAGTTTTTACACTTAAATAACTATTTTAGTCCAACAATTTGAAGCAAAACACTACATGCTGCCTTGCCAAAAAGATTATATGGGTTTGGGAGCTAGTTTATCAAACCTAATTAGGTTCTCTTTGGGGAAGGATCAATTTACTTAATTAGGTGTTCTTATTAGGATCCCACTATACATAACTGTTTTAGTTTTATGGTTACAGTTTTGGAATTTATTTGTTTGCAAATTATTTGTTAGAGTGTATTAGATGAATTTAGTTTTTAAAATTCAGGTTAAGGGGAATATTATTAAGCATAATTTTACACTTTCAAGATGTTACTACCAAGCACAGTTTTCATATATAGATGCACTTTCTAATCTAAAATCACTTTCGAAATACACTATCTCCAAACAATTTATATTTTGTGAAAGACCATCTTGAAAAGTCGATCTCATAAAGTCCTTTTATGAGATAGACTTTTATTTTGAGAAGATATACTCAACTTAGCCATAGTATTTTGGCCATGCTCAAAATCACTTGCTGTAGACATGTTTTTAAATTTGATTCTTCCACTTTACAAAAGTTTGGCAAAAATATGGATCAAAAAATGCTTTTGAGTAATCCTTATTCCATTTTTTGAAGATTTGCAGAATTTGAAATGTAGTATGCTTAGTTCATTGAGCCTTTGGATCCTTGAACATGTCTGTTGATAATTATTCAATATATAAAAAGGATGATTGAGCAAAAGGGAAAAATCTTGTAATGATAGAAGTAATTTAAATAAATCAAGTTTTCTTAAGCAGCTATTCTTGTTGTTGCAGTTCTTATTATCCAGTGTGCTTTTTCACTTACCATTCACCGTTGTGGTACAATTTCCGATCCACTAACAGGAACTTATCTTCCAGGTGAGAATTCACAGCAGTCTAGGGACACCCTGGATTCTTCAGCAGCAAGTCAAGCACCACACATTAAAACAAAGAAGCTTTTTGTAACTGGTATGTAAAGCATTTGTATTCATCTATTCATTAGCGTCTTTTTGCTTTTGGTAGGGAAGACATTAACACATAACCTTTTTGTTTGCAAAAATTTGATTGCTTGCTTCCTTGAGAAAAAATTGGCCTTGTAAAGCACAATGGAGTAACGTGATTCATGTAGTCAAGCCCAAATAGTTCGGATAAGGTTTTGTTGGGTTGAGTTGGAATAAATTGAGACTCTCCTGTCCAACTTTCTTCCATTCACTTTCTTGCATACTTGAGTGTTTTTTTGGACTATCTAATTTAAAACATCCACTCTCTGAAGAGCAGTGAAATGCATATTTGTAATCTCACTGCTCTTGATGGGAGATGGATGAGCATATATTACGAATTATTAAATTAATTGCTGGCATTCTCGAATAGCCAACACATCATATAAACAAAGGTAGCATTTGGGATGATTAATGAAATTCGAAAAGTACTTTAAATGTATTCTATAAGGAAAGCACTTTCATTAAATAATCATTGTTTTGATGTTCAAAAAAAGAACTTCAATAAAAAATACTTTATACAAAATCATGTTTAGATGACCTACAAAAAACACTTATCTGTGTCACAATTACTTATATTTTCCCGAATCCCGAATGAACACAATATATACAAATGGCGATAACGGGTGGTGGTGGTAGCAGCAATGGGGAGTGTCAGCGGCAAGAAGTGGTGGTGACGACGAATGCCCAGTTGGTGGTGGAAGTGGAGGTGGCGGCAACGTGCAGTGGGTGGTTGTGGCAGTGACTGGTGAGGGTTGATGGTTGTGATAAATGTGAAAATGAAAGTAATTTTAGGAAAGTATAAATTTCTAATGTTTTTGCTTCTACTTATTAATTTATTTAAATGACAAAATTACTTTTGGCTTATGTTAAAATAATTAAAGAAGTATTTTAAACATTACTTTTATTCAAAATACTTATGAAAAGTCACAACTTATAAAACACTTTTTAAGTCATTCCAATCGCTAGCTAAATTATAAAACAAGAATCTTTTATTAGTTATTCCTGATGTGAACGACTGCTTTTTTGGAACTAATTCATAGGGCTTAGTCAACTAACTATATGCATAAACAAATATAACATGCAATATTTATAAACATTTCAACGAAACTCTTTGTTTGTGAAACTAAAGGAAAATGTGGTCTAGAGTCAACAAGCTTTCTCCTCTTTGTGACTTATGGAAGGTGTTTTTCAGCAACCCGATTCATAATTGGGATTCAATAAAAGCATTGAAGCCCTTTCTTTGGTGGAACCAAAATGGGATGGGTGCTCCTTCACAAAATCTAACAAAGAGTTCTAACAAAGAGTTTGGCTGAAGAAGAATAGCTCGTAAGTTGGATAGAATTCCGGTTAACTATGAGATTGTTACTCTTTTCTCCGAAGCTAAGTTATTATTGGTACTAATGGACTATTTGACCATGCCCTAGACACTATTCAGTTGAATCACTCAGTGCAGCAAAACCATAAACCTTAAAGGGTCATAATGCGCTCTAATCATCCCTCCTTTCTCTGAACTATGGAGCAAGTGTGGAATATCTGAGTTGAAGGCAACCCTATGTTCCAACCCTATATAAAGCTGATTAAATTAAAACTACGCTGTTTGTTTTTCCTGCATTAACCTCGTTACCCACTTTGAGAGTTTCCTAGTTTCCTTAAGCTGCCTCTTTATAATTTGAAACACCTAGCATTTAGAGGGCACCAATATTGCACTCATGGAGCACCATCAGCAATTCATTTGGAAGTGGCTGAAAGTTTTTTTTTAACCCAAGAAGTGATGCTGCATAAAATGAAAACAATAAAAGAAATTTTACCAAAAAGAAACGACTATGACAGCATTATCAGACATTAATGTTGGAAGATATCCTTCTTGGACAGGTCTATCTTTTTATACATCAGAGAAAACTTTGCGTGCAGCATTTGAGGGTTTTGGTGAGCTTGTTGAAGGTATGTTGCTGCTTTCTGAGTCATGATAAAGAAGGTTCTCCATTTTATATCAATGGGGATCTAGCTGCATGAAAAGCTATCAAGATTGGATGAGTTTTATTTACTTTAATTTTGTTGTTGACAGTTAAAATTATAATGGACAAGATTTCTAAAAGGTCCAAAGGGTATGCCTTTATAGAATACACCACCGAGGCTGCTGCAAGTGCAGCTCTCAAAGAGATGAATGGCAAGGTAGCTGCAAACAGTCGTTGTTTTACTTCATAGTTTTGGATTCTTATGTTGTCAACCTAGTCATATGTGGAAGAAAGTCTGAGCACGTTAATATTTGGTGCTTACAGATCATCAATGGCTGGATGATAGTAGTTGATGTTGCAAAGCCGAGCCCACCTAGGTACAGCAGGGGCCGCCCAAGACTGACCAACTAATATGTGAGACGTCTGACCAGACTGCGCTACACCTCGTCTTACCACCTTGGGGAGCATAGATCCATCCGATTGATGCTCGCCTGCTGCCAACAAAGCCAATGTGCCCTATTATTAAGACCAGTTAAATTAGCTGGCTTCAGGCTCAGTATAAGCATCAGGTTTACTTCATGCTGGCTTTTGTATATGGTTGACAGCCTTGCCCTGCTAGGCAGCATTAGGGCCAGAGACCTTCGACACACTATATTAAATCAAGTCTTCAAAATCTGTTTGCAGCCCTGCTATTAAGTGTTTCTAATATGCCTATTGCAGCTTGTCTTCTGCTGAACAACAGATTGGCTAATATTGGCAATTATCTTTTTGCATGATGGGTAGAACCATATATTTCGATATATTACTTCATTTTTGGTCTTAATAGTGGTTACCTGGCAGTGGTTCACATGGTGCATAGCTTTTGGCTGGATTTGGTCTCGTATATATATTTTTTTCCGAGTTGGGTTTTTCGAGTAAACAATATTGTGTTTTGCTTCACTACTGTGTTGCTGAATTTTTTTTTCGAGTAAACAGCCTTCCACGAGTTGTTTTGCGGTTGGGACATTCGATTTAGGAAGATTAGCATGGCCCTGTGCAAGGATGACGTGCTCAAATCGACACAAAAGAAAGAAAAAAAATATGAGAGAGAGAGAGAGCATATATTGGCTACAAAATGTCCCACATTGGAGAAAGAATAACGCCTCTCTAACAATCTATATAATAAAACAGTTAGGTATTTGAAATTTTATTCCATATATATTCCCTCCTCCCCCTAAAAAATTATCCCATTACTTATTTCTATTACATATTTAATTATATAATATTTGATTAATTTGTAGTTTAACATAATTTTTATTTTAGACATTATTTATATACGATAATATACACATGTTAAGAAAATTTAACAAATTACATTTTTTTGTTGATATTTTTTAAAAAATAATGGGTAAAAATAAATTTTAAATGATGTAATCAAATAAATGAAGAAAAAAAATTATTATTTAATATAATGGGATTGATTTTTTAGACGCTTAATTTTATATTTCATCGTGCCGTCACTAATAAGAATATATTGGACAACTTAAAAGGGGTAAGAAAGAAAGCAAAACGCACAGGAGGAGAAAGAGCGTGCCAAAGTATTCAGAAAAAATCAACCTAATCAAAAAAATATCTTGATATTTGCATAATACTACGTGCTTCACTTGATAAGATCATTATTATTTTGAGTAATGTTACATGAATCTTATTTGCGGATCTTATTTAGGAATCTAATGATGTAGTTTCAAGGAAAATGATACTTTGCCCCCTGAAAGATTGGAAAAATTTTAATTTGCACCACGAAAAGATTAATTGTTCCAAATTACACCATCAATGTTAATATTTGGTGACAATGTGGCCCCAAGACTAACGGACGTCAAACTTGCTGTTAACTCAAGCTATCACGTTCATCTCACGTGATAACCTGAAGGGCAATCATGTAAAAACACACAGACCTAATTCTCTGTTTTATTCTGGCGCCATGGCTCGATCGATGGAATTGATTTTGCCCTAATAATTGCCATTCCATGCCATGCCAACGCTGAAGAAGGAAGGAGTAGAAGAACAACGGAGAAAGAATGGAGGGCGTCTATTACTGCAGTAAGAGAGCATTAGTGAAGACTTCATGGACAGACTTGAATCCTGGGAGGTAATTTCTTTGCTACGATAACCATGGGGTAAATTCGTTGTCCTTATTTTCTTGATTTCTTAAAAATTTCATTCTCATAGCCAACTTTGAATCAAAGATTCAGGAACACAATTAAAGGTTACAGTTCAAGGTTTGTAAGTTATGGAAATTGTGTAACATAAACAATGTAAATGTACAAGGAATTCGACAATTGCACAGGGGAAACAAACTGATGCAACTCTAGCCTTTTCATCAATGTGAATATCTACATTTTTGCAAAATTTTGTTTTTTCTAAATCATTATATAGTGTTTTGTTTTAATGTATGCAAAATGGTGGATTGTGTGGTTATTTTGTATGGGTGGACCCTCCAATGTGTAGACGAGCTCGACAAATAATACCTGGTTTGCTGCGTCGAGTGACCAGGTTGGAGACAGAGCTGGAGCATGAGAGAAACAACAACAAGTCAAATGTACTGAAAAGATGTCTCATTGCTTGTTTATTGCTCATTTTTCTAATTATTTTCGTACAAGGCTGGAGTTGAATAGGATGGTTTAGATGGGAATATGAGTGGAACGAAGGGTGTTAATTTGAAGTTAATGTGACTATGTGAGCACTTGTAACTGAATGTGATGCCTTCATTTTGTTGTAACTTATGTAAAGAATTGAATTATGCTACTCGGATGTAATGTAATGCAGAAGACAAGAATTATGTAGTTAACTTGACATACATTCATGTTTAGAAAATGCTACTTATGTATGTATATTTCAGTTCTAACTTGACATACATTCATGTGTTAGAAAATGCAAGCATAACCTTTTTTTGCACAAGTGCATTAACTGTATACAAAAACCAGAAATCAACCTTGCACAAGTGCATTAACCATATACAAAAAACAAGTGCAATACAGGTGCACTATCCATGTCCAAAAATAAGAACAAAAGTGTGAAGCACAAAAGTCAATCATTGTTTCCCAGCTACCCCTAATTTTTTCTTTGTTGTAGGGTTCTTCTTTGAATGAAGCAATGAAAATTTTTCTGAACTATTGCTGCTAATTGGTTTTGGTACTTCTTTTGTTGAGCTCTAAATGTTGAAAATGTCTGGGAGGTCTGCTCAGGTGGAATTGGTAGTTTGAACCCAACTACTGGGATGTCAACTGACATGTGCAATTGCTGGGAGTTTGCTAGTGCTTCAACTTTATTATTGTAAACTCAAGCGTAGGTTGAACGAAGTAATATATTTCTCAGAAGACCGAGGTCGAACCCTTAGAGGATTGTAAAATAGCAGCAATCACACAAATACTAAAGCAAACTTGTAAGACCAATTTGTCTAAGAGATTGTTGAGTTGAGAAAATATTGATTGAAGTAATTAAAACAATATAATAAAAATATTAGAGTATCAAGTACTCCCTCTCAATTCCATACAATAATGAAAAAAGACTTAATTCTTAATTTTAGACAAGAATCAAATGTCGGTTGATTCAAGTCACAGAATTAAGCAATAAAACCATAATTTATAATCAAAGAATTATTTAAGAACCTGAATAATCATCTAATTATATTATATGTGAAATAATGATAATCAACTTAAGCGTGTAATAACCAATTATTTAATCGCAGGGAAATTCAAGCAATCAATGTACATGGCACAATGACTCAAGAATTTTTACAGAGCAAAAACTTTACTAGAAGATAAGAATTAAATTAAAAAAATAAATCATGCATTAAAAAAATTTTTTAAATCAATAATAAGTATCGTGCTTCATTAAAAGTATCTCCCTTAACTTTAGTTGAACTTTTAGCAAGTCATAGAACTAAAACAACAAAACTAGAAAAGAAAAGATGAGAAAAGAATAATAATTCTAATCTAATTCTCATTATTTCTCTCAATGGATAAGAATTTTTATTTATACTAAAATAAATCCTAAGTATATGTAGAAGATATAAGGTTGGCTTGGAAGGAAATTCTTTCCAAAAAGAAGTCTTGTAAGATTAAATCCCGCACCCCAAAGATTTAAACTTGCTACAACTTTAGAATTGATTACCCAAGTGCAGGTTGTGTGAAGTAATATAATACTCGGAAGTTCGAGGTCAAACAATAGGGAATTGCGAAAAACTTAGAACACAAAGAAAAATAAAAGAAAATTATTTTGAAAAATATTGTTGTAGATATTTTGAAATTTAGAAAACAATAAATTTGATTTTTAAAACAATAATTGAAAATACTAAAGCATCGGAGATATCCTTTCAAATTCACACAATAATTATTAATGATTCAATTTTCGAACTAAATTGAGAATCAACTGAGGAGTGATCCCAATCAAAATATTTAACAGAGATAATATGAAAACATCAAAAGTTATAATTAATGAATTAACTCAATAAATATAAGAATTTACTTGTAGATCACAAGCATTCACCGTACCCGAAGTCTATAATAAATCAAGCTTTCTAACAGGTAAATCTTTTTTTATTGCAAATAATAAATCAACTATCTTATGAGAAATTCTAATTAGTTAATTCAATCATGAAATAACCAGTTATTTGACTCGCAGGGAAATTCAAGCAATCAATGTACATGACACAATGACTTAAGAATTTTTATAGAGCAAAAATTTTGCTAAGAAATCAAAAGTTGAATTAACAAATATCACATATTATTAAGCTCATAGTCGATAACATTACCGTACTTCATTGAGAGGTTATCTCCTAGGCCTAGTTAAACCTTTTAGTCATACATGACGAATTAAAATCAAAATAAAAAGATGGACAAAAAGAATAATAATTTCTTTCTTCCTAGATGAAAACTCTTATTTATAGTAAAATAAATCTTAGGTATAGGTAGAAGATATAAGGTTGGCTTAGAAGGAATTCATTTCCGAAAAAAAGTCTTGTAAGGTTAAATCCCGTACATAAAATCTTTGGCGCGCGGGTACAAAATTTGTTCAGATTTCTAGCTTAAATTTCGCATATTTAATGGCTGATTTACAATATTTTCATGAAATACACTTTTGTAGCCCTTGAAGTCTTCTTTCCAACCCCCAAAAATCAAGTAAATCAGATATTAAAGTCAAAAGTTATGACCAAAATACTGAAAACGTGTCAAATTTTTATCTTCTAGAATACTTTTCTAATCCAACTTTAAATGAGTTTTCTTTCAACTTAGACTTTTATAAGGATTAAATTATTGTCATATCTTCAAGTCTTCCTATTTCATTCTTGACTCTTCAATCCTTATCAATTGTGATTCTTCCTCTAATAATTGTTTCACTTACATTATCTATTATTACTTTAAATCAACCAATTTACCTGCAAAATAAATCAAATAACTAGAAAAATAAAGGAATTTAACACATTTAATCACAAAATAATATGTAATTAATCAATCATTAAATATAATAAAATAACAATTTTGATGGTTAATTAGCTAGCGTGTCCTTTTTGTTGGCGTTGGTCCTTTTTGTATGCTGCGGTTGGTCCTCTTTCATTAGTCTCAGCATTAGTCCTAGCATCATCTTGTCCTCTTTCATTAGTCTTAGCAGTAGTCCTAGCAGCATCTTGTGCAGCATTCTTCCTTTTGACCTGGACCATAAACCACATTGTACAATATAAGTTAAGTCACCTTTGTAGAAAAAAATTAAAAAAAGTACCTTATGATGTAATTGGACAACAATAATGCTTACAGCTGACAATAAAATACCAGTTTGTCCCCCCTTAAGATGACATCCATCCACACCAATTAAAGGTCTGCATCCTTCAATCAAACCTCTCTTTAATGCACCAAAACAAATGTATAATATTTTGAATTTGACTTGATCACCCCTTGTAGATTTGGTTTTAATAATACATGTGGTTCCTAGGTTGGTTCTCCTTAGTTGTTCACAATAATCCCAGAGAAGAGCATATTGCTCCTTATCAGTCCTCCTGACATATGTCATTGCTTTAATTTTTCCCTTTACACCTAACTTCTATGCATTTTCAGAACATTTTCCTTTTCGACTGTTTCCTTAAGTGATTTCATTGGCCATATTGGATTTGATCTAATCCTCTCAACATATGTACTAGCTAGCCACTTAGCATTTGTAGCCTTCACCTTCAAAGATATGTTGCAGTTGTGATTGTTAATGTATGTTTTAACCTGCGTTGTTTTATGCCCTTGCATGCGTGACACATAAATCATCCAATCACAACCTGCTTTACATATGACCTTCACTCTATATTTCTCATTTTTGACAAATTTATCTGTTTATCGCATTTAATAGAATGTTGTCTAACAGCAGCTCTGAACTCACTTGATTCTTAAATAACATACCTAACTTGAATTGTGGATCACTCACGTCAGTCTTGGCATTAAACACTTGGTATGTCACCCTATCTTCATTTTCCTCTGATGATGAGTTTGGAATACTCTTTAGTTCATCTGAATCATTGTCTTCACCAATATTCTCATAAGTAGTACCCATTGTTGTTGTATTATATTTCTCAACCCATTTCCTTTTATTCCTTCCAGTGTCATTATCAACCACTTCCCCTTTGTCTATTTCATTCCTGAGTCCCACATTTTCATCAACCATTGTATCCTGTAGCTGTACTCCATCCAAATCATACTCACTGTCATAGAAGTACTCATCATCTGAAGTCGAGTTGTCTGAGTGTTCCTCACACTATGATGAATCACTGTCTAATGCATTATCAGAACCAGACACATTATTTTCCCCATCAAACTATTGTGTAGTAGGAATACAATTTGACTCTGCTTGGCTCTGATCAAGGACATCTCCTTTGGTGTGTTCAACATAGACATCAAGCACTTTGTGCTTGTTGACCCAACTGCCCAAACCCAAAACATCCTCATCGTCATCTAAAACTTTCCATTCATTATGAATTCTGAGATGGAATCTAACAATCCCGCAGTACCCCAATTCCATCGCTTTCAACATATTCTCCAGTTCTATTAAAGAAAGCTCGTCTATGTGACACAAATTAAATGTGATTCATCCTCCCTTCAACGTACAGTCGATCATTCCCATGTTGGAATTGGCCACCATGATGCATTCTGATTGTGAAAAAACCATCCCCATGGTCTGCAGCCAAATCCAAACAAAAAGACAACATTCACATGGGTATGTCTGACCCCACAAACAAAAACAATTCCACTCATGTGAATCAGATAAAAACAAAACAAAAATAGTATAATACAAAACACAAACTCATTTCTAAATAATATAATACAGAACACATACACTCAAATCTAAATAAAAGCTTTACCATAAACACTCACACTGAACAAGGAATTTTTTTACCATAATTCGATGCTTCTTGTCTGTATTTCTCTTCCCTTACCACCCAAGACATTTTTCAATTTTCAAGCTTCAACTCACTCATAACCTTCAACCAAAGCAACAATGGAGGCCTTTGGAAGATGAATAGAATTGGGCAGGATTTGCACCATGTGATGTTATTTAGGCAAAATCAATTCCATCGATCGAGCCATGGTACCAGAATAAAAGGGGGAATTGGGTTTGTGTGTTTTTATATGATTTCCCTTTATATTATCACGTGCGTCTCACGTGATAGCTTGGGTTAACAGCAAGTTCGACGTCCGTCAATTTTGGGGTCACATTGTCACCAATTATTTCGAACAATTAATCTTTCGTGGTGCAAATTGAAACTTCTTCAATCTTTCATGGGGGCAAAGTGTCATTTGCCCTAGTTTCAATTCAACCATTAGATTAGTTGTGAGTTCTAATATTAGATGGAACTCACAACTAATCAAATAATTGTACATCATTATGTCATTAAATAAAGTCACCAAATAAGATCCAAGTAGCATTTCCTTTATTATTTTTCAACTAGTGACACTTTTGGATCCCCATGTTTTTAATTTTTGGGTGAATTGCAAGTTGCACCCCGAAAGATAGTTCAAATCTCAAATTTAGACTCCCAAAAATCAAAAATTTTAATTTGCACTCCTCAAAGATAGAAATTTGTATCAATGTGCACCCCCAAAGATAAAAAATCTCAATTTGCATCCTCAAAAATAGAAATTTGTATCAATGTGCACCTAAAACTAAATTGATAAATTATACCTAGATTCTCCTCATGTTTGTTACTTAATCATTTGGACCCATTCACATTTAAAATATTATTCCTGCATCTCATGACGTTTGTGCACGTGTAACACGTAACCTTTTTCTGTTGATATTTGTTAATATAACTGTTAAAAAATATGATTTTATCATAATAAAAAATTTTAATTTTATATTACCCTTTTTTTTGTGGGTCTGATATACTCTAAAGTTCAAAATCAAGCTTACCATTTGAATGTCTAATAGAATGTAGATATTTATGTAATATTTTTTATATCCAATGCAATATATTACTCAATGTGCAACCCTTTATTCTATTAGACATTCAAATGGTAAACTTGATTTTGAGCTTTAGAGTATATTTGATCCATAACATAAAGGGTAATATAAAATTATAATTTTTTTATTAGGATAAAATCATATTTTTTAACTGTTTTATTAACAGATATCAACAAAAGGGGTTACGTGTAACATGCGCACTAACGTCATGAGATGTAGGCGTAATATTTTAAATGTGAAGAAGTCCAAATAATTAAACGACAAGCATAACAGAATCTAGGTATAATTTATTAATTTAGTTTTAGGTGCACATTGATACAAATTTTTATTTTGAGGGTGCAAATTGATATTTTTTATCTTTGAGGGTGCACATTGATACAAATTTCTATCTTTGAGGGTGCAAATTGAGATTTTTGATCTTTAGGGGTGCACATTGATACAAATTTTTATCTTTGAGGGTGTAAATTGAGATTTTTGATATTTGAGGGTATAAATTGAGATTCGAACAATTTTTCATGGTGTAATTTATGGTTAACCCTAATTTTTTTAGCAAATTATGGGCCATTAATGAGTGAGAATTTACTTATTTATAATGGGCCTTATTTGAATTTGAGTCGCAAAAAGAAAAATTAAATAAAAAAATTAATTATTTTACAATAATAAATCGATGATACGACAGAAGAGGAAATGCCTTGAAAAGAAGCAATGGATGGCATAGAACTCCAAAAAAGAGGACATGAGAAATTAATATTAGCACGATTGACCCATGAAATAGCTAACTAGTTTAAGCCAAGTTACGAATATTTTTTTTTAACCACCTTTTTACTGATACAGAGATTAATTAACTTTAATTACAAAAATACACATCTATAAAGTCCATATCATCTTTCCATTCCAATCCTCCACATGCACTTCCATCGGTAACGTGAAGCTCTGTTTTGAACACCCCCTCAAAATTTACATCCCAATGGACAAGCAAACCAAGCTAATTATCTTCTTATGCCTCTTCTTTATCTTTTCTTTTTCCACAGGTACTGAAAATTAATCCTCGTCTGTCCTTCATTGAATATGCTGATATATATACCTGAGGCAAAGAACAATTTCTGATGTTGCTATTGATGATTGCAGCAGCTCAGGCGATCGGAGGATCCTCTCGGCGTCGTCATGGCTTGATGAAGCTTTTCGTTTTCGGAGACTCTTATGCAGATACTGGGAACTGGCCTAAAGGTTCTGCTACTTCATGGAAGGAACCATATGGGATCACTTTTCCCGGTGAACCATCCGGCCGATTCTCTGATGGCCGTGTTCTCACTGACTACATAGGTTCTCTCTCTCTCTCTCTCTCTCCCATATCTTGAAAACTTCCAGTACGACGTGGTTGTGTGATTTCCACCAAACTACAATGAACTCAAAAATTATATAAATAGTGATATTTCTTGAATAACATCCCATGTTTGCTCTTAGAAAAGAGGCCAATTAGTTCTACTAATATTTTTCTTTTCAACTGGATGATTTAAAAGTTTATATATATATATAGTCCTAACATTTGGGGTTTTTTTGTAATTTTTTAATCTTTTGGTGGAATCGTTTGTTTCTGCTGTGTTTGCATAGCGATTGATTTCATCCCAATGAGAGTGCAATAGCATACTTTTTTAGATAATAATGAGCCTTTCTTTTCTTGACATTCAACTTTCTTTCCCAAACATTTGTAGATTTCAATATTGAAATTAGGCTACCGTTAATCCACAAATTTCCCACATTTTATGATTAATTCCCTTTCTTTGGCAGGTGAAAACACAACAGACCTATTTGCTTGCCAAAATCTAGTAGTATGACATGATCCGCTGATGCAAAAAATAAATGTTTCGGGTTAGCAATAATTAGTGGATATAGTACGCGGAACATACTTTTTATTTTCTCTTTTTGTTATGGTATTTATATGCATTGTAGTAGTAAAAATCTTTTCCTTGGCATTTAGGTTGGACAACTTTTTTAGTCTATAGAAATCTATGCGTGATGGGTTCGGTTGAGAGAAAAGGGAATCCAAATCCTAAGTTTTATGTTCACGATTACACGATGACTTAATGAAAAAATCGGATTAGTGCCAAAACTTTTGACATGATGATTAACTAATATTGATATACCCGCAAACGACGTATTCCGAATAAAACTAAATTAACACCCGAAACATAAAGTATTTGTATGCTTCTTTTATTGACCTGTTTTTATATTTTTCATTTTACGGTCTAAAAACACGGCTTGAATGACACCTTAGATTTATTGCCCATTCATATATTATTGCTCGTTTTTCCGTAAATATGCAGCTTCATTTGCTGGTATAAGACCTCCACTGCCTTACAAGTTGTGGAAGTCTGGTACGAAATCGCCAAGACATGGGATGAATTTTGCTCATGGAGGGACAGGTGTCTTCAACACTTTGGTTGATGGGCCAAACATGACCACCCAAATCAATTTTTTCCAACAACTTGTTGAAGAAAAGGTGTACACAAAGAGCGACCTAAATTCCTCAGTTGCTCTAGTATCCCTCGGGGGCAATGACTATGCTACTTATATGGCACTTAAAGGCACCTCACAGGTGAGTGGTTAAACTAATTATATCTGTCAAACTTCTGGTAGGTGTGAGAGCTCGGCCAATAAAGATTGAATTGAATCTAAGCAAATTTAGTTTTACTGAAACCAGCCTGGTCGACATGACTAAGACAAGATACACGGACTTGACATGGTACCCTCATTTCATTTATTGTGGCATATTTGGATGGTCTAAATAGAAATGTTAAATATATCAAGCTAACAATTAAATGTCAGGTTAGAGAAGTGATGACCGAAAAATATATAAATTTATACATAATTCATTTAATAAATGAGTGAAAAATTTTAATACGAACTGTTTAATAAACGGGTAATACAACACAAATTGTTTAACTCGCTTAATTTTAATTTATAATTATATTTTTGTGACTGTCACTAAATTAAAAAAAAAAAATTTATGTGGCTATCACTAAAAATAATATATATATTTTCTGTGGCTTTCACTAAAAAAAAATGTCTAATTTTTAAAAATAATTATTAATTTATTATTATATTAATTTTATTTAAACAAATAAACGGGTGATAAATGAGTTAACACGACTCACCAGAACACGGCCCATTTATTAAACGTGTCTAATGGGTCAACCCAATTATTACCCGAATCCGTTAAACTCTCACTAACTTAATTCGTATTAGTTAATCGTATCTTGTCGGACTTTGACAAACCTAATTTTGGGGTTTGAATCCTTCCAAATTAAATCGCTTTTGATGTACATGTAATTCATAGATGAATCCTATTCATACCTTTATTTAGTAAGTAGCATAAACACACGTGGATTATGCATATTAATCACAATTATAACAAAATATTTGTCATATAATTGACTAAAATTTTCATTTGTGGATCTAATTCATTGTTTATTTAAATTAGGGGTACAAAGGTATTTTTGCAATTATATTCGATTTGGCCTGTTTGAAACCCAGTTTGCAGAAGCCCATATATGGGTTTAATCATCCGGGAATGTAATTCGAGACTTAAAAGTTATAACCAAACATGATTTTTACTGGTCCATTGGACCATTTTCCTTAAACCTAGCTAATGTTGCGACAATCCACCCCTTAGGGCCACAATCCTTACCTAGATATCCCTTATATATTTCGATTTGTGCTACCTTAAATATCAATTGTATCGCATTGGACCCATATTATACATTTTTGTAGGGTTCAGGCTAAGCCTTCACAGTTTTAAAACATGTTCAACAAAGATTCAACCTTACACTTTTATTTCATTTCACACATAGTTCACCAAATGATGTATAAGAACCTATAGGGACTCGGCACACCCTCACCTCACCTCATCCGTTTTGGTCTGAAACCTCAGGTATCTGTACCTCTTGAATCTTGGACTCGACCTCATAGATCTTGAATCACCACACTTACATCCACACATTTAGTTTATGTATAAATGGACTATACCTAGTTTTTCTTTTAGAGGATATAGTATCTGGCAACACTTTTAGCTTCTCTCTACACAGGGTGACGCAAGTCAATTGGAGGCTAAAACAGAAACATTAAATGAAATTTTTTTTATTTTTAGTATTATGTTTTTTTAAAAAATTAATTTATTTTTAATTTTCTATGTGAGAGGGAGACAAAAGAAGGATGTGTTAATATTGTTGAGAAAGAGGTTTTAATTTTAATTTTTGTTTTTTACCACAAAGAGGGAGAAAGAGTGTTTAATTTTAATTTTTTTTTTTATTTTTTATTTTTACCGGAGAGAGAGAGAGAGAGAGAGAGAGAGAGAGAGAGAGTAAGTGGGTTTTTAATTTTTAAAATTTTTAAGTTTTTAATGTTATGGATTAGATTATAGGCCTAAATTATTAAAATAAAAATTTTAATTGGATTTAATTTTTTTTGTGGGCTAGTGATGTATACCTAAAATTATAATTTTTTTTAAAAATTTGAAGTTTAAAGTCCATACTTTTTTTTCCATACTGTTATGACGGCCCTGTTTCTAAATCAGTTAATGTTCACAATGGAACATAGCCGAGTGCACGAGGCTCCGTTATTTTCGGTATTTGTAGATATTACTGCATGTACATTTCCTGAACTACTAACACAAACACAACACAATGTATATATGTCTTTTCTGTGATAGGGTTTTCCGGCCTTCACTAAATCAGTTATCAACCAGCTTGCCACAAACTTAAACAGCATACACAGCTTGGGAGTGAGAAAAATAGGCATTACAGCAATGGAGCCCCTTGGGTGTCTACCTCGATTTGCTGCATTGTCTTCATTTCAAAACTGCAGCAAAGCAGAAAATTCGCTTGCAAAGTTCCATAACCAAATGCTGGAGCAGAGTCTACAAAAATTGAGCAACAAAAGCAATGAATCTTTGTTTTTGATTCTTGATCTATATAACGCTTTCATGTCCGTGCTGAAGATACAGGAAAACCATCCAGGTAACTACATGACATATTACCAATAGATTATATGATATAGATGGCCCTTGAATTATCCCAAGTGTTTTAGTTAAGCTCTTATGCTCTGTTTGGTACGATAGAAAAGTGCGAGAATAAAAATTTGAAAGATGGAAAGTTAGAGGGATAAATAAAACATCATGTTCGGTAAGAAAGAAAAGTAGGAAGGATAAAAAAGTGGATAAATTAACTTTCCTTCCAACTCACTAAAATCAAACCTTCCAAAATCGGTAGGAAAGTAGATGAAAAATTAATTATTTGTGTTGAGATGTATCTTATTTGTGTATATATCTTATGTATACATTTATTTCATATAAAAATACAATGGTAAAATATATATATATATATATTTTTTAAAAAATTTTAAAAATTAATTTAAAAAAAATAAAAAATAAAAAATAAATAAAAATAAAAATAAATAAAAATAAAAATTTTAAATTTAAAAAAAATATTTTTTCCATCTTAAATAAGGATGAAAATTTTTGACTCAACACGATTCTAACTCGATACGAAAATAAATAGGTTAACTCACAACTTGACACGACACAATTAGTTAAATGAGTCAAGTTAGGTTTGACTAATATTCGACACAAACTCGTAATGACTCGACACGAATTTGACACGATACGACTTGACTCTATTGTCACCCTTAATCTTAGCCAACACAAAAAAAAAAAAAAATAGTTATTTTTATTTTCCTTCCATCCAATCAAACATAAAAGAAGGAAAGTGTATCTTTCATACTTTTCATCCTTGAAGGATAGAAAGTATATCCCTCATACTTTCAACTTTCCTCCCAAACGGATCATTAAACTACTTGACAAGAGATGCACTACTAAGATTCAACACAACAGGCCCGTGGCCCAGGTTTCATAGCAATTTGAAATTTAGCAAGAAGTAGACATTCTCGATTCTCCCAATAACTTGATACAATTTCTCCTACTTTGTGCACAGGAAATACAAGGTTTGAGAATCCGTTGAAACCGTGTTGTGTTGGTGCGACCGAGGGTGACTTTTGCGGGAGCGTAGATAAGAATGGTAGGAAGAAGTACAGTGTATGTGAGAACCCAAAGCTATCATTTTTCTGGGATGTGATTCATCCTTCACAACAAGGATGGCATGCTGTTTACTCAGCTTTCAGATCTTCTCTCCAACAACTCGTTTAAACAAGTTCTTTCTAGCTTAATCTTGTCATTGCACTATGTTCAATGATTTAAGTATTGTACAATTAGGTACAATCTTTTTATGAAATATAGTACGAGAAAATGATACTGAAATACAGTTACAATCAATAAAAATTTACTTTACTTTTCGCCACTGAAGAAATTTAGTTTCACTTTTCAAATAGCCAGTAATTTAAGTCAAATCAACTTGCCATTTAGTCTGTGAAAATTGTAGGATTCATATTTTTTTCAATACAATTTTCGCTCAAGAAGAAGAAAGAAGAGCAATCTATAGAGGATTCTCATTACCTTCCAAAAGTGTGATTACATCAATTATTTATCTACAAAGCTAGCTTAGGTCTAAGTTGATCAGGATTAATTATAACTATGCTTAGTTGTAACTAACTTAGTTACTGTTACATGTGATCTATAACACACTAGAGTATCAATTTAAAACAAGTGGCAGAATTCTGAAGTGTGTTGTTGATTTGCTTCAGAGTTGATGTAGCTGCATAAGGAATCTTGTTAATACTGAGCTGAGCTGGAGGAGCTGCAGAAGGAGTTGTAGAGCTAATACCTCCCCTCAGATTAATGGGGGGAACACTAAGCATGAGTTTGTCACGTAGGAGAAGAAACCTGTCAGAAGAGAGTCCTTAAATGAAGACATCAGCCAGTTGATCAATAGTGGACACATAATGAACTTCCAGATCTTTTTTGAGCACTTTATCTCAAATGAAATGATTGTCAATCTCTATGTGCTTGGTTCAACCATGGAACAAAGGACTGAAAGCCAAGGCTAGGGCAGAAATGTTGTCACACCAAAGTGTAGAAGGCTAAGAAATAAAAATGTGAAGATCTTTGAGAAACATTCTGAACCAAGCTAACTCTGCAGCAGTAGTAGTCAGTGACCTATACTCAGACTCAATAGAAGAGTCTGCTATTGTGGTTTTTTCCTTGGCTCCCCAATGAATAGAGTAAGAACCTAGGAAGATAATAAAACCAGAAATAAATCTCCTATCAGTGGGATCTCCAGCCCAGTTAGCATCAGTGAAAGCTGAAAGATGCAGAGAGCTGAGAGTGTATGTAATACCAAGAGAACTTGAGCCTTTGAGGTATATCAAAATTCTCTTGACTACAGAGAAATGCACATCAATGGGAACAACCATGAATTGACAAACTTGGTTGACAGCAAAGGCAATATCTAATCTTGTGAATGTAATATATTGGAGAGCCCCAACCAAGCTCTTATAAAGAGTGGGATGTGGGAGTGCCTTCAGTCTTGCTGAGCCTTATGGATGCTAGACAAGGAGACTTGCAAAGTTTACAGCAAACTATATTTGCACTTTGGAGAAGATCATGAACATATTTGGTCTGAGAAAGAAAGAGGCCCTGGGGTAGATATTAGACTTCAAGACCAAGAAAGAAGTGTAAGGGTCCAAGATCTTTTATGTCAAATTCTTGATTAAGAAGTGGGGATAGTAACAGACTGAGTAGAAATCTTGACAAACAAAGAATAATTAGCAGTTGAGGCCTAAAAGTTGAAGGTTTTAAGATGGGATATAAATCTTTCAATTTAGGCGCTAAGGGCTAGTTTAAGGCCATAGATAGACTTATGAAGTCTACAAACAACAGTACAAACAGTTGGATCAATGAAACCAGGTGGTGGTGTCATATAAACCTCTTCCTTGAGAAATCCATGCAAGAAATCATTTTTGACATCCAGCTGATGAAGAGTCCAACCAAAATGAACTACAAGAGTTCAAATTGTCTTTACAGTAGCTTGTCTAACCAGAAGACTAAATGTCTCATTGTAATCAGTACCAGCAACCTGATGAAACCCTTTTGTTACATGTCTTGCTTTGTGCCTAGCAACTATGCCATCTGGATTATGTTTAAGTTTGAACATCCATTTACAACCAACAACATTCTGACCTGGTGAAGGATGAACAAGAGACCAAGTACCTTGTTTTTGTAAAGCAGAAAATTCATCTGCAATAGCATGCCTCCATTTAGAAGATTTAGAAGCAATATTATTGGAAGTGGGTTCCAAAGAAGTGGAAGTAGACAAGAAAGTAATTTTTTTTTTTTTTGAGATACCAGATTTAGATCTTGTAGTCATAGAATGGACATTATCACAGGTTGAGGCAATAGTAGGTGGTAAGGGAATAGAAGAAGCATGTTTAAAAGAAATGAGAGAATGACATAAGAAACAGATGCTAATGATAAGGGAGACAAAGAAGTAGTAGAAGTAAAACTTTGACAAAGAAGTGGAAGTAATGAAGAGTCAAAATGAGGAGCTGCAGAGGAAGAAGGAGTGCCAAGAACAAAAGAGGCATCACTTGGAGTAGTAGAGAATGGTGGATACCAGTAATCAATAGGTGCTGGAGAGAATGGTGGAAAAATAGATGAATAAGCAAATGGAAAAAAAGTTTCGTTAAAAAGGACGTGTCTGAAAACATTGAATCTGTTGGCTGAAAGATCATAGCAGAGATATACCTTGTAGTCAAGAGGATATCTTAGAAAAACACTATAAAATCCGAAAAAAAAAATTTATTATTATTATTATTAAAAATCTTAATTAAAGGGATAAAATAATAATTAATTGTAAATATAAGGGTCAAAAATGTAAATTTCTAAACTATATATATATATATATATATATATATATATATATATATATATATATATATATAAGTGTGGAAGACTTTAGTCTTTCACTTTTTCTTCCTCCAGCTGGCTGCCGAGTGAGTGAAATAGAGAAAAGAGTTTTTTTTTTCTTTATTATTCTCCTTTCTTCTTCTTTTTCAGATCTACGAACCGTTTTGGGCCAAAAATTAAAGTTACTCTACGCAGCGAGAGCTACGCAACCACACAAAATATTGTATTTTTCTCCAAAAGAATATCAAAGACGATAATCTAGGTCTAAAGTTTGAGAAGTTAAATTGCGCTTCCTTGGAGTTCCAGTACGTGGGCTCACGCTACGAGAGGTAGGGTTTCCTCTATTTAGATTTACTTTCAACCTAAAATATGACGTATGAAATGGGTAGGCTATGAGTGTATATCACATGTTAGGTCTTGACTAGTGTAACTAGTGAGTCAAATATATGATTTATAATTAACTTTGTAATTAGAAAAATCCTATTATGATTAACTTGGTGTAAGTTAATTTCAGTTGTTTAAAGCATATTAATTGTACATTAGAATTATTTTATGTTTTAAATGGCATATCAAGTTTAATAAAATTATTAGCTTGTTATGTGATTATGGAATAATATGTATGTTAAATGATTATTTAGCATATAATTATTGTGGTGGACTTGTGCTTATGTTTATAGAATTGATAAACATGTTGTCATGTTGAAAATGCCATTATATTGTATTCTTTATGTAATGGACATTGTAAATGGTACCAAAGGCAATTGCACATTGAAATGTCATTATGCATGGCTTACATTACATTCATGGGCATTGACATGGTGGGGAGTGTGTGCATGACGTGAAATCAATCACCACATAGGTGGTTGATTGTGGGCTCGAAAAAATCGCACCAAGGTCCGACTGAGTTACACGGAAAATTAAATGGATAAACGTGTCGGGGATAGCAAGAAGGGCTAGATTTTCCCTGGATGCAAGACCCGCTTACGTAATTTATACACTTTCCTGCGGTAAAATTACAGAAAAGTGTAACGGCCAAAATGGAGTCACAGGTGGGATGTCCTGAGAATCCGTTGATAGTTGGTGTCCCATTGGTGTAATACCATAAATTATTTCCCCACAAAGACACAAGAAAATAAATTAATTAGTCATTGAGTGTATATAACACTAATGATGGGGCTTGGAATGCCCGAATACATACACATGACATTGCATGTGTTGTAGGAGCTCAGGATGGGGCTCGATATTGGTATTGTGTTCGTGAGTCTCATCTTATGGCATGACATGATTTATGACATTTGTTCATAATAGACATATTTGAATGATTGCATGAAATGATTGTTGTATGTGAAACGTGGGCCCGCTTTGACGACAGAGCTAGTCTGTGGCTCTTCTTTTGACATCGTAGTCCCTTATTTATAATTACTTTTGGCCTTGTGTAATTTTTGTAACAAAAACTTGTTTATATTTAAAAGACATGTATAAGGGACTCTTTTGAGACATTTATTCTTTTATGAATGAATGTACGTAATGATGATGATTATGGTAGTATACGATACTGTACAATTGTGAATGGATGGATAGACCTGGTGTGGTCAATATTGTACAGATTGCGTTTTGGGTAGGGCTCCTCGTACAAAGGAGACTCTGCCCAAATTTTGTTAAGTTATGGATCTTAGTAAATGAGACATAACGATGTGGTATCGAATTACATGGTATCCACGAGTATTCTGCGGGTTGATAGGTGATCAATCGGGTAATTACAGACACAAGGATTTTGGGGTGTCATAGCTTAGTATCAGAGCCTAGGTTCTCGATTTACCTAGGGCTTGCAAGGCATGGGTCTAAGCCATTGCATCCATTTTGCATTGCATGTTAAATGTATTAAATGTTACATGCTATGTGTTATGAGATTATATGCATGATTAAATGTATATAGGAATAAGACACTATGGTTAGAAAACATAACCTTAGAGTCGGGAAGGGAAAGAATGTGTAAGCCTACTGTTTGAGTTTCTCCTGGTAGGTATATATTCTACTGTTTAATTTTGATCCATAACTTTGGGATACTAAGTTATTGGTCTATTGCTATCTTATGTGTGTATATATGATAACTAGAGGAAGGGGACGTTGGGGTGAACGGAACAACCAACCACCACCACCGACTTTTGATCAACAAGCCTTTAAGTCCCACAAGGCTTATGGGTACGATGACTGCCACCTTTTTTCAAGCCAGTGCCAATGTGGGCCAAGGAGGCTCGAACAACCTCCAGAAGTTTAAGTCCCACAACCCACCAACTTTTGTAGGAGGAGGGGATCTGATGGTAGCTGACCATTGGTTCTAACAG